CAATAATGTATCAAATGATTTACATCTATTTTGAAATATTTAAATTTTTATAAATAAATAAATAAATATAATTATATTGATCCGATTAATCCAATTCAACCCGTTAAATTTTGATCGGGTCGGGTAACGAGTTTATCCAAACCCGATCTAACCCAACCCGCTTACATCCCTAATATAAATCTATTTTACATATACACATAATTTTAGTATCAATTTTGAATAAAATTTAATGACATATATTATGAATAGGACCGATCCAAACTAGAGGTGAACAAAACTTTTGCTTTAGATCCCTTAAAAAAAATATTTTACATTATATTCATATAATTCTTTCAAGATCCATAATTTAAAAATCACTTTTTTGTATTTTTAAAAATTCATTCTAAAATGTCTATTTCTAAAAATTATACAAATTTAATTATTTTTTTTTTTGCAAGGTCTATCTCTAAAACATTATTATTTTTTTAAAATCAAAAATATTATTATTAATTTTAAAAAAGTCTCACTTTAATATTTATTTTTAGGCTTAACAATGTGTTGGACGAATCTTAATTGTGTATATTATACCTTATAGTTACAATTTTAAATAGTTATTAAAATATAATTATTAATAAATAAATGTAGTTACACCCAGTGACGGATCTAGAAATTTTAGGTAGTGGGGGCAATACTTACTCATATATTTTTAGTATTAAAAATTTCACATATAACTTTTAAAAGTATAAATATATATCATAATTATTTTTACAATTTTTTATATCTATAATTATGATTAAGGATGGAAATAAATCGGGTAAGACTAGATTATATTATAATTTAATAGATTTGAACCTAACTTTCTTTAAAATTGCATGTCTTTAATATGACTTATTTATCTGTCATAGATATTTTTTAAATATGTTAAATTTTATAATAAAAAAAAACAAGTTTAGTTTATTTATGATATAAAATGTTTTTAATATTTGATATAAATTTTTAGATGATAATTTATTTTAAAATATATTTTATAATAAAAATTCAAAATAGAATACAAATCTTCCAACCTTTCCTATTTTGATTTTTTTAATCAACATATACAATCTTACAATCTTTATTATTTTGATCTTTTTAATCAACGTATACAATAAATAGAAAGTACAAAAGGTAAACATGCATAGTACAAATTTTATTTTATCAAAAAATAATTTTTTTAATATATTACTTTATATAAGTGAAAATTAATATATATATATATATAATTAAACTTTTTTAAAAAAAATAATTCATTATTAATGGGTATTCTTTATCACATATGAGAACTAATCTCCTTCAAAAATTTAAAAAATATTAAATAAATGAACACCTCCTTCAAATCTATATT